GCCAGCCTACACACCACGCAGTTGCATGACTGACACCCCTCCCCGCCCAGCTGAGCTTTGGCCCTTTGGTTTAGCGACAGAATGACTTTTTCAATGGCTTTCACATAATAGAGCATGCCTATAAAGAAAAATAATATAACATCAATTAATGTTTAAGAATTTCAGATTTCTAATCTGTGATGAATACTCTCTTTGTTTTTAGGAGGATAGAGAGCAGAAAAAATACAAATTGAGAAAAACCTCTTTAGAACACTAGCTTTGTTGAAATCTTTTATCCTTGCTTTATATTAAAAACGGCATAATTCCTGTCTTTTGTCCTTTTTTAAACTACTTGGTTGAAATTTTAAATTATCTTATAATTTATACAACATTCATGTACTTCTTGTTTTGTATCTATAAATAGAGTGATTACATATATGGGAAACTTATATGTCAGTACTGATAAGTGTCTGAAATTTAAAAAAAAAATAAGGCATGAAAAAGGGAAGAAAGTTTCATGGGGCTGAGGCAAGAGTGTGAGTGAATCTACAGCCAGCCTCGGCCACAGAACAGGTTTAAAGACAGCCTGAGCTAAATTGGGAAACCTTGTCTCAAGGTGAAATCAAAGGAATAAGCCCATAAACTAGACCATTTATGGCGTGATTGGTGAGAAATGATGATGAAAACATTAGAAGTCATAGCGTCAGGTGGATGGGGTACACTCCTGGGTGGTTGTGGGAAATCAAATTATAATGACTCCGAACATGGTATAAATACACGAAAAAATTATGGTAACTAAAAAAAAAAAGGAACAATATTCTTGATTATGATAAGATAATCATAGCTCAGAGCCATGATTGAAGGGAAGACATCATGTCACAGTCGTGGTCACTTTGCCCCATTTTTCCCAGTGATCTTCACTCATGAAAATAGAAGAAAACCTTGGAAATGTTCATTTTGAACTTATGCTTGATGCATCAGAAATACCAAAAATGGCATTTACTACATAATTAGAAAGGAGTTTAGAATTTACCCCTGGGTGTATGTATATGTATATGAGGCATTTAAAAAGTGTTAACTGAATTGCAGTTCTGACCACTTTCTCTCCCCTTGGATCAGAATCCCAGAACCCTGTCAAAGCACACTCAGAAAACTGAGCGTCATTTCAATGCCTGCAGGCATAGTGTAGGGGGGGGGAGTGGTCTTTTCTAACTGGTTCTAGGGGGTTCTGGGCAATCAAGGGGCTCTCCTTCTCTATGGAAAAGTAACGCTGACTACCCTCATTTCAAATAGCAGAGAAAACATTTTATCCCTCACGAGTATAATTTGTTAGTATTTTTCTTATACAGAAGGAACAGTCGTTACTCTCCTTAAGATGGGTTTCACTTTTTTTTTCCCCACACAACAGTTCTTGCTCAACTATCAAGGGTCTATTCCATTTTCAGTTCTTAGTGAAATAGAACCCAGGTGCATGCACACCCTACTGAATTTTGATGGCTTTCAACATCCAGGAATTTTCTAAAAGCTCATTATTTTATATGCTAAGTACTAAGAAGGATTTCAGTTTATCAGTCTAAGGTTCTTAGATACTAATTGTGTTCCAACTACTGTTCTGATTGAAGAAGTGATTTTTTTGGGGGGGGGGCTGTATCTGGAGTATTATTTAAAGGAAGTCATTACTTCTCATTGTGACAGCAATAAATGGAAGATGTTTGGACTAGAATGAGGGAGGGTGATGAAGTGACCCTTGAAAGGGTCCCATGCCATGAGAACAGGAACCATGCGTACAGCTTTCTGATTAGCTATTGATGTTGTTCTGGGCCATGGACCTCTAAACACAAAGACGTTTGAATTCATGTTTCTCACATTAGTCAACATAAAACTAGTGTTGTTCAAGGCAGGCAGCTCCTTGTCAATCTCTCCAGATGACAGGAGTGGAATGGTGGTGAGCCCCAGTGTGGTGACTCATGAGGCTGAAGGAGCATGATCATGAGTTCAAGGCCAGCACTGACTACATAATAAGACTTTGTCTCAAAAAAAAAAAAAAAGATGGTACGAAGAAAATGATGAATTGTAAGTTTATCTACTAGGTCAGGACATGTTTGGATCACAACTCAGTGAAAAAATGGAAACTGTGATACTGTGCCCTGGGAGATAGCTAAGGATCTCTGTACTGAAAGCAATGCTGTATCAGCTTTCCACAATCACTAAAAATACCACTAGAGACAGGTCCCTAAAGGCCTTTTCATGGTATGTGTAGATCATGTCATATTGGCTTCAGGGGTTACCCGTTTTCTAACATAAGCTCTATGAATTCATTCCCTGTCACTAGCAATAAGACGCCCAAGGGTATAGCACATAGGAAGCTGAGTTGAGTCCATGCCCGTGATGAGGAGGTAGGGAAAAGCCACGCTGGAACACAGTACGTAGGGACCAGTCAAAGTCAAAAGCCCTCTGGGGAAAGTAAAATCCTCGGGCAATGGGGAGTGGCATCAGAATCAAACCAAGCAGTTTCTAAGAAGCCCCTCTTACACTGAGGTCAATGGACTTGAAATCAAGGAGCTGCCATTCATCTGTAGACCACAAACTGAGACAAAGCCAAAGTCTCCGAGAAGTCAAAATAGGTCTTCTGACGCTAGAGTCCTTCCTTTTAAACATTATGACATACTGCCTCCTAGAAACACACACACACACACACACACACACACACACACACACACACACACGAGGATGGAGAATCTCATGAAAAGATGAAATTAAAGTGCAAGTGTATGCCGGATTCCTTCTACCTCATCACCTGAAGTCTTTTGTAAAAATGTACAACGTGCTTGTTCTCAGATGTTTAGCCAAGGGTGACACGGACGACCCTTAGAGCCTCAGGCTCAGCCTTTACTCTGACCTTAAATATGTTGGGGTGAGATTAATTGAACCGATGGGATTTTTTTTTTCTGTTATGGTTTGGAAATCTTAGCCAAGAAATATTTTCTTTTTGGACTTGCTACCTGAAACGTGGGTAACTGAGCAGGACTCCTTGGTGGCCTTTGATCCCATTAGAGAGTTTAAATCGATGGGCCAGTTCTTTGAATGAAACCTGATATTAAAATAACACCAAGCTAAAGTCACAGGAGAGTCTAGTGTAATGCATACATTCAGAGCCCCAGCTAGGGTGCACAGAGTTCCAGTTGACTATAGTAGCCCACATGCAGGTTCCCTTTTACTCTGAAGTGATTCTTAGTCTCCACATATTTATAGATCAGACACAGAGCTTTATTTAAAAATCCTAAATCCAATTTAGAGATTCAGACACTATCAGAGCCTGGTATATACAGCACAGCTCTGTCCAGTACCCCAAAGACACACGCTGCTAATGAATTTGAATTTCTCAGCACTCAAGTGCAACTCTGATGTTTTCTTCCCAGGATGTTTTATCTCCCATGATCTTCATCAGTTTGGCCCTTGGTTGTTGTTGAGGCCCGAACCACCAATAACCTCACCAAAACAGACCCAATTCTGTCTGAGACCCA